ACCAAAAGAGGAGGGAGGAATAGTTTTTATTTACCGGACCCAGGGCGTTTAAAAATTGAAAGGTGGCTAATGATTCGAAGCCGGCGGCAAAAGCCTGATGGTTCTTTTGCCCCTGAGTACTCTCTTGGCTCCGAGATCATTAGAAACCAGTTAACGCCGTGGAACATTATTTTTTTGCCGAATAATATTGGTTCAAATCTACATATTTACTAATTATGAGATGTTATCTGACTTGTTTTTTTCAATATTTCCCTCCCTGTAAAGCCCTTTTATAATTCCTTTCTTAATTCTTTCATTACATAACAACTGTTTTCTTTCTCTTTTTTTTAAATTTATTGTCTACCCTGTTCAACATACATGTTTTTCAGGGTTGTGAATAGCATCATACCATAACTATTTGGTTTTATTTCTACTGTGGGGGTGGCTCGACGGGGAATGCGATAAATGTTTTTGGTTGTTATTAATCTATTTTAATTAATAATCTTAAATTTATTAACGGATGTATATTAAGAGTACAGAGCATGATCGTCTGATATGATTATTCGATGAAAGTTATAATTATTTGCGCGCCCATTTTTTGGTAATTTTATGGTGGTCTGAAATCTGTCTTTAGGGAAAGCGTAGTTGATGCGTAAGTTCGGTTTCTGCTGTGCCGTCAGGTTGAAAATGGAGGTGCTGGGAATGAGGGGAGTGATGTGATAAAAGTCTTCGGACCATTTGTAATGTTGTTCTTTTATTGTCGGAATTTGGCAGTTCGTGGTGGATTTTGCTGTTTCGAAATAAACGGGCATGAGCTTTAATTATAGTTCTTACGTTTTGTTTTGTATCAGTTCTTAGCGTTTTTATTTTGTATAGTTTTGCTACAGGTTTATTATTAATTTTGCTGCATTTCCCCATATTGAGCGGCATGCTAAGTCATTGTTGTCGAATTATAGACTTGTAAATTAAATCATTCCGGTCTCTATTTTAAGGGAGGATTTTTTGTTAATTAGTGGCGTAAAGTTGGGAAAGTTTTGCTTGTGTTTTGTTTCGTGTTTGTGTTAAAATGTGTGTTTTTCCAGTTTATTTAGTAAATGCAAGTTGCATTCCTAAATATTTGGCTGCTGTATTATTTGCAGCCCAGGGAATATTTTCGTTGTTCAAAATTAACTGCGGAGGGGTGGAGGGGATGTCTTAGGGGTGAAAATTTTCGCCTGTTGGTTTTTATCTGGGATTTATTTTAATTCTCCAATTTTTTGCCCATTTATGAATATGTCAAGGTCGTTTTTGTAAGTTACTTCTTAGCTGTCATAATGTCCTCATGGGCCTTTTCTGGACAAAACTGCAGTGGTCTGCCCGCGTAAATGTTGCTATTTTGCGAATCTGTTAGGTGTGGATAATCGGTATATATATAAATTGAATAATACCGGTGTAATGGGGACCCTGGGGCAGTCCTGCTGAATTCTGGCGTAAGGATGGATATGCGCAAATCATTAATTTTGACTTGGGGAACTTTATTTGATTTAGAAAACTTTTATAATTTGGAATAAGTAGTCTGGAGTGCCTATTTGTCTTAATTGTAGAGAAGGCCTTGATGGCCATAATTTTGTCAAACGCTTTTTGGGTGATGTCGCAGCGGATACTGCGATCAAGTGTGTTTGTTTGCATGGAATCCTTGCGCTAATATATATCGGTAAGCCGTAATATTTGATGTGTTTGTGAAGTAGTTAGGTCGAAATCAAATTGCGTTGTCTTGGGTTACATGTGTGTTTGTCATGAATTTTATTATCGTTTTTCAGTAATCAGTTTTTTCTCTAATAGTTTTCGACAATGACGGGATTAAGGCTTATTAGTCTATAAGTTCGCTGGATCTTTGGATTCTTTTCTGCTTTTCGGAAGGGTAGCACTGTTGCGACTTTTCCCGATCGTTGGGAAAGTAACCAATTTTGAGTGCTGCGCTTAAATATTGCTGTATATGCCTGCAATCGAATTGGTTTTTAGTTTTTTAAAACTTTATTAGAAATAAAGTCGTATCCTGGCTGATTCTTCTTGTTTTTTGATTTTTTGATTTCTTGTTTAATTTCTGATGGGATATGTATTTATATTGACTGGAGCTGTATAAGTGGTTTTTGATTGAATTCCTCTACTTGTTTATTAAAGTGATCGTTTTCCGAACTGGGTTTGGGTTGAACGACCTTTCAAGGTACGTCAGCTATAAGAGATCTTTTCTCAAATCAGAATTTGCCGACTTGTGAACCTAGTTTTATTTGTGGAAATTCTTATTTTGTCTTTTTATTCTATGTTTGGTAGACCACAATATGCCTAGATGACGGGTGGAATTTCTTTTAGAAAAGTCTGAAAGCTTGCATTATCCTATGTTGATCTAAGTTTAGTTTTTAAACTAGTCTCGTCAGTTTGTTTAATTTTTATTTTTAAGTCTGGTCGTCGTGCCATTTTGCAATAGCGTCTTCCAATTGTGTTTACTTTTAATCTAGTTTATGCATTTTTATTGGATTCTGTTGCTTGTATATTGAGTTTGTTATTTTGAAGATAATGTGGTAGAATTTGTGAAGGAATCCTTGTAAGTTGCTGACTAATCGTTTTACTTCACTTATCTATGTCTTTTTTTCGAGATTGAATGTTTTCGCGGATGTTTGTAGTTATTTTTTTAAAATTTCCTCTGAATTTTAAAGCCAGTTAATTTTACGTTTTTGCTGTTTATAATAAGATGATAGATAGAGAGGAATGAAATGATTATTGGATTGTGATCCGAGTCGGTTAGCGATACTTTTTTGGTAATAGCGGAAAATCAATATCTTTTTGTTGATGAGGATATCTAATATGTCAGGAATTATTCATTATGTTGTAAGGGTAAGGGTTGGGTTCTATTGGGCCATAGATACTTAAATTGAGAGTGGTAGCTAGATTTTAGTAAATTTTGCCCTTGAGGAGTTTGTTGTGTTGCATCCCAACCGCAGTGTTTTGCATATTAGGTCACCTATTAGCATGATATTTCGTTATTTCCAAAAATTTGCAGTATATATTTTTCTAGGAATAGCTCATTTGGAGGTTTATACGCCGATATAATGGTTGTGTCTTTGTTATTTATTTGGTTTTTATTGCTATGTTTCTATGGTCCGTAGCTCGTAGGACTATTAATTAAGTATGTTTATATCTTTGTGTACTAGTATGGCCACTCCCTCTAGCGGCCGTTCGCTGAGAGACGGTAGTGTGCGATAGGAATTAAAAAACCTGGCATTGAGAACTTGATTTGAGGTAACAAGGTGAGTGTCTGAAATGACAAGCTATTTTTATGTTGTGGCCTTGTTATAAGGTGTCGTAATTGATTTTCCTTGCCTTTTTATTCCGTTCGCTTCCAGTTGAGAATGGTTTTCTGGATTTTTTAGTAGTCCGTTATCGAGGGCTTGATTGTATGTAATATTTGTATTTGTGGAATGAGTGCGTTTATTAACTTGTTTGATGATTGGTAGTTTTCCACTGTTCTTGGTTGTATGAGGGAGCTTGGTTTAGTTTCGATAACGGAGGGACTTGGCTATTACGTCCTTTTGAGGATTTGAAAAACCAGGGATTTATGGGAGGTCGTTGCGGTTGGTTTTGTTTGTTCGTGGATGAATTTTGAGGGACTGGGGTTTTCCGGTCAAGGTTTTTAATCCTCGTGGGATCCTGTTTACTAAAAAAGGCGCCTTGTTTTCGCCTCCTGTATTATACCGCTGTGTTTGATTTTTTGCAGTTTCTGGTAAACTTCACACCTTTCAATTGGCTGTGTGTCTTTTTTTACAATTAACGCATTTCCGACTTGTTTCTGTTTTAGGTTCCGTGCACTTTTGAATAATGGTGGTTACCTAAACACCTAACGCATCTCGGAGCGCGCCCACAGTTAGCTTGAGTGTGATCGCAAATCTTTGGCCAGTGTTTTTACAATTGAATTGGTAATTTTGGTTGGATCTAGGAAATACCTAATAACATCTATATAAAAATCTATCTAATGCTAGAATGCTCCTTCCCTTGTTATTGTCCCTCTAAATTCAGCACATGTTGTTAATGGTTTTCTGTCTTTTCCGTCAAGGCGAGTTAACTTTGATTACTGGGTATTTTTTACTAGTTCTTGAAAGATTTCTATTTTCACTATATAGAAGTGTGAATATCTTTAATAAACGGATTGAAAATGTTTTTATGCTTGGGTCACAAACGTGTGGTATTCTACATGTTTGTTTCGTTGCAAAATTACGATCTCTGAAATCTTCTATGGAATTAAGTTTTACTTTCAACTCTGTCTGCTTCTATTTTGTTGTAAAATCTCTTCCTTTAACTATCACTTTTAATGTCGTTTATTAATAGTTGAAAATTTTCCCGCTTTGTCTGTAATAATTATTGGAGGAATTTTGATCACTGTTTCCGCGAACTGATATGTTTCGTCTTCATCTGTATTGTTATTTTAATGTTTCGAACGCTGTTTGCTGTTGGAATAGCATATCGTGAAACAGATCCAGTTTTTTTTGTCTTTTGCGCCTCACTTTGTTCTGTGGGGGCAGGTGCACTGTGTGCAAAGGGGCCAACTTGAGCGTTGGCTGTTTTGTACTTGCGTTTGAAGGGTCCTTAGTTTGCTGTTGCAATTGTAGCAGTTGTTGGTGTGTTCCTGAAGTTGATGCTGCTCGCGCCTGTATTTGCTGATGTTTCTGATCTATGATGAGCTGTTGTTGGTACTCCAACGAATGTTTGCATGGCGTCGGGCGTAGTGTTGTTCACGGCTGCATCGCTTCTTTGATGCTCTGTCCGAGGTCAGAGCACGGTAATTCACTTTTATCTCATTTTCACTTTTCGTTAAAGAATATGGAGTAACGTTCGAAAACACTGGTCACTTCACGAGCATTCGCAACTCACTGAGTGCTCAGCTTGACGCCGAGTGAACTAACAAGGTAGCGCTGCGGTCACAACCTCTCGCCCCCGCTGTTAGGCTGAACTCATGAACTGTTTTCATGTTTTCCTCGTTAACCACGTTCCTCTTGATCCAGGTGGCGGTATATATTTGAAACCCATTTCGAAGGCAATAACAAGCTAAACTGTAAACTTATCTATTCAAATTATCCAAATGTAAAAGTCAAAATAGGACGATTTTGGCATGAAGTCTTTTAAGTATTAATTTCAGAAGTTACGAGTTTGCGAAATGTTATTTTTTGCTTCTGTTCAACAGCGCCGGTTTGAAGATTTTTCCTAACACATTTCTCCTACACTCCAAATCATTGTAAACGTATTTATAACGAAATTCAAGAACTCAGTTAATTTCTTTACTTATCGTTGAATGGAATTCATCAATGAAGGTGTTATGAAGATAAAACTACCATCACAAATAATGCCTACGTTACAGAGAGTTTATGGTAGAAATATATAGGAAGTAAAAGAAATAAATATTACATAAATATGTAGAAATACAAAGATAAACAAGTAATTGAACATAAATACGCAAATGAATGTTAATAAATCGTAGAGAAATAGTATTAATACATGAATATGTAAATGAAGACACAAACCTCTTCCAGAAGCCAGGCGCGTGAGTGGCGATCTGGTGCAAGGAGGGGGCGGAGGAGGCGCGACGCGGTGGCGGCCAGGCCTTTCGCTCTCTGCCCCGCCCCGCCCCCGCCCCCGCCCCCGCCGCCGGTCCTGTGCCGGCCGCCAGCACGGGCGCGCGGCTGTCCATCCGCTGACTGAGGCCCATCGACATGATGTAGTCGGTGACACTAGCGCGGCGCTGCGGCTCCAGTCCCAGGTACTTGACCAGCTCGCGTTGCACGTGGAAGAACTCAATGGAGTCGTAGGGCCGCGCTTCCAGCATCAGGCGCTGCATCTGTGCGCCGGGCGGGATGGAGGTGGTGGCTGTTTACTTTGTAATTTACGAAATGTATTCAATATTGAAGTGCGCGCTTTGCCTGGATGGTTGAACAATAATCGATTAGGCAAAGAGCGCAATGAATTCTACATGGAGTGCATCCCGGCAGTACCTTGGCCTGCCCTGCATCGTCCCTTGCCCGTATCGCCCGATTTCAACCAACTTAGCCTCACACAGCTTCCGTATATCCCTCCTCATTCTATTGTGCACAGCCCCTCCCTGTCCGCCCTGCCATGTACGACATATGGGCTAGCTCAACCAAACCGTATCTGTTATTTGAATGAGAGGTATTTTTAATAAAAAATAATACATTAATAAAATGTGCATGTTGCCTATCATATACCTGGCCTCATATATGAGCCACGTTATCCTTAATTAAAAATAATTTCATTCTTTTAAAATTATTATCCTCTTGTCATTTAAAAAATGTACTAAACGGTAGCACATGGTATAGGAAAAAAAGAAAATTAAAAGTGCTACAACAGCATGTTCCTTAAAATTATTTGTAATGGTTACATACTATTATAACAATATTTGAACACCCCAGAATATTGGCTCATTATAAGGAACTCAGAAATATTAGTTCAGAACACAGAAATATAGGTTTATCAAGCATTCAACCTACCCACTACATCAGATATGTCAAGGTCAGACAATATAACTCACTACAGTACACAGCTACTGTGTCCAGAGCAACTGACGCGAGATTTAAGTTTGTGTTATAAAAATTGCTTTGGAGGGGCGATACGTCCCTGGATACCAGGCTCATGTCCGTCTTCTGGATAAGTTACTCGAGAAATTACTGCTCCAAATGAATCATTCCTCGTCAAACATTTTTCTAGCGACTTGAAACCTTTTTGAAGTGTACGTTTAGGTTGTTAGAACAAATATTCTTGAGGAGTTGATAATTGACTGTTTGCCGTCAAGACAAGTTATATTATTGGAAAAACTAGTATTTAAAATTCCTTTTCGTGACGAGTAAAGTGAAGTTTTTTCAAGAAAGAGACTTTATACTTGTTAATGTCGCAAATATGATGCAGTGACAATGTGACAATGATGAAAAAACGTGCACTGCTCCCCTTGTCACCTTACCTTAACGTACCGTAACCTGACCGAGTAAGTTTGTCTGCAGTTTCTTTTGCGTTTTTTTCCATTGCCGTCTTTTGCTCTCTTTATGAGACAAAAATTAAACTTGACTCTGTAAATTTTCATTGTCCAGTGTGATTTTTTTAAGAAAATTATTCTTTTCTACTTCAAGATGTAATTCAGAAATTGTTGTGAATTAATATCTCAGCTACTCTGCATCCTTTTGTGCTATACTTCAGAGAAAGCAAAGAATTAATTTTTTTCTGGGTGCCTGAAACACAACACGAATTCAATTCACCCTTTTCAGTGCAAACTCGTAACACTTCTCAAGTAAGTTTTTTACAGTGTTAAAATAGTGTTGGATGGGGTCAGTGCCAAGTGTCACAAATCAATGCGAATTTATGCTTACACAGATATCTTCAATGTGAGAAAAAAATCATTGGCAGACCCTGATAATGGATAAGGGGATAAATCCAGAAATGCTAAATTAAGAAAAAAAAATACTCTAACGCGTGGCGTAGCCAGAGTCTCTGTTTTGTGAGTCCTTCATACTGAAAAACCAATTGACGGCAAAACGTCCGTCCATCTGTTAACACCACAAGAGCCTAAACCATATGTGTGACTTTTTCCAAAATGGATATTCCCCAGTCGATTTGGCTCCAGTAGAAGCCCTGCGATTTTGAAAATCTTTCTTCAAAATTGGAGTTTCTTACATGAAGCCTCGGTAAATTTTCAATATTTTTTGGTAAACGGCCCCTATTTGGTCTTTGATTTTTTATACGAAAAGAGTAAAATACACTTATAAAGGTGTTATTAGTTCGACATTCAGGCTTAAATCTAAATTTTTCGAAAATTTCAGTAGTTCGAATTATTTGCTGCGTCTTCCTAAAACAACACAATTAAAAAGGGAGATTTTTCTTGAAATAAAATTTGTTGTTCATAATCAGTTCTGTCAATAAGGCTGTGTTCATTTGTTTGAAAATTTTAGTAGTTTTTGAGCAATATTGCGTGCAATATTTGCAGTTATAAAAAATTACCAAAACAAGATTTTCTCAAAACGACAACAAAGTTTTTCTTTACACTTTTGGTGGGGATAGTACTAAGTGCACTCTATAAGATGACGTAAACCCCATATGACTCTATTATTTTGTTTTTAAAAAATAACAAGAATGTATTTTTTTCGTCTTGTCTCTCACGTTTTTAATATTTACTTTAGCGGTAATTTGTTCACATTAATCCATTTATGAGTGCAAATTCTTTAAGAAATGTGAGATACAGTTTCTTGAAAACTCAACTCATTTTTTTGTTAAAATGAGGTTAACATTCCGCATTTTCAGAAACACTCAAACGCCATTTTCTCAAAAATAGTTCCAAATTTTTGTTGGGAAATTTTCCAACGGATAGTGATAATTTAGCTGTTTAAAATGATGTAGACTTATATCGTAGAAGACATTTAAAAAAAAATTACACTAATGTATTTTTTAAATAGCTCTCACCCCTTTAAAATGTGCATTTCTAGAGTTTTGTAAACATTATTTAATTTGTGACTAAAAGTTACTGAAATGGTTTCATCTGATGTTTTTCGAAAATTCAGTAGTTTTCGAAAAACAGTAGCGCTTGAACGCCAATTTTTCAAAAACGGCTCGAAATTTCCCGTAGAAAATTGCAGTTAGGACGAGGTTTTACTGTTCATTTATATTCTTAAAATAATATTTCCGTTCAACAATTAGGAAACTGAAAAATTAACAAAACTTTTAAAAGAATTTATTTTGAGTGGCGATAGATGGCAGCTGACAAGAGTATGTGCACTTAGTACTATCCCTACCAAATGACCTACCAAGAAAAACTTTGGTGCCGTTTTTGAGATAATATTGTTTTTGTAATTTTTTAATTACAGTGTTTTAAAAGTGATTTCAATTTGATAGATTTTTCCTTAATGAAATTTACTCTTTCAGATTTTTTCTCAAAAACTGTTTTCTTTATATTTTCTCCTTGTATCTACGAAAATAATGTAAGAAAATGTATGTCTAATTTCAGGTGAATTCAATGTATTTCCAAAAATTGCTAGGATTTAACAATTCAAAACTACGAAATTGAATATAGTGATTTTTGCTTTTATATATGTTGGAAAAAATCGCGTTTACGTAACTTTTGAATGACATTAATACAATATTTAATTTTTTAAATGAAACTTCTCTTAATTCGCGAAAATCGCAAATTTATAAATAATGCACGTCTTGAATGTACCTCAAACAGCGTCCGCCGCCGCACCGCCTCCGCATCGCCCTGGTTTGGGGGTGCCACGATAGATGGCGCGGACGCGACGGTGGCAGTAACTGCGGCAGCGCCCAGAACTCCAAGTAGGGAGTTCTCCAAATTGCCTCTAGGCTGCGTCTCCAGTCCTGTGCTCGACGCGGCGGATGCGGGCACTCCCACCGCGCAAGTGGGCGTCACCTCTACGAGGTTCTCGTTGGCGCCGCGCGATGGCGACACCGAGAATACCTGGCGGAGGGAGCCACACCGCAACCATGGAGTAATGATATACATAAATTTATTTTGTCGTGCACTTAACGTAAATCATCTGTTGTTGTTTCGTCCAATCGGGAGCTTCTATGTCCCTACAGTTACGTCTCTATGGGGACGATCAATCTTCGTCTTCTCGAAGGCTGCGGATCCGCGACTACGCGATTGCAAAAGGTTTCCTCCAAGTATTTTTATGCGGCAAAATTCGTACTTGTAGAGTTACTAATTAGAGCGGTTTAATAATACAGTTCGTTTCTCATTTCAAAAACATCTTCAAGCTTTTTCTGACCAGAAATAATGAGTTTTTGCTGCCTCTTTTCAAGCATATCGACTGTTGTCATTCAGTAATGGATTGTTTTATTCAGTATTGTATGGGATGTATTGTTTCGCGACTGAAAACGCGTTATTTCGGTTCACCGAAAAAAAAGTTACAATAATACTCGTATCTTTCGCGATGGTTTTAGATAGTCTTCTTTGTCTTACGTTGCTTGTCATATTGATATTCTCAACAGTACCTAAATTTCACGCATGAAAAAATATTATGGAATTTTGAAAGTGATAGATGTTGGTCAGGTTGTAGAATTGAAATTAAGTTTATAAAACGCCACTTCAAGTATCAAAATTCTATAGAGAGTTCTTCGGGTCATAGACCTTTGCCTTGTTGCATCCTATTTTTACTTGCATGTATACGGAGTATTGTACGTAGTAGAGGGAAAGTAGTGTAATGTTGCGGAAATTTCGTCGATCGGTCGATTTCGAGATTTTGACGGAAATACACGTTTTGAGGTTCCTTGATAACGAAGTAGTGATTTTTTTCCAAAACGTCCGTCCGTCCGTCTATCCGCTCGTCCTCCATCCGTCCGTCCATCCGTCCGTCTGTTTCTCTGTCCGTGTGTCTGTGAACACCACTAGCACCTAAACCACATATAGGATTTTTTCGAAATAGAACATACTGTCCATCTGGCTCGAGTCGAAGCTATGAGATTTTTTTTTTAATTGGGGTACTTTACATGAAGCACTCCAAACATTTTCAAACTTTTCTCAAAAACTGTTCCAATTTTTTCTTTAATTTTTGGTAGAGATATTGCTATATGTGCTCTATGAGATGACATAAACGCCATATGCTTTTTTTTTCTTTTTCAAAAATTACAAAAATATAATTTTTTGACTTGTCTCTCATGTCATTATTTATATTAGCAGGAATTTGTTCAGATTATTGTTTTTTGAGTTTATATGCTTTAAATAATGTCATATATATAAAGTTTCTCGAAAACTCAACCATTTTCTGTGAAAACTAGCTAAAAATGCCGCGTTTCCAGAAACGCTAAAACGCCTCA